ACGCATTTAGTGTGATCGGGTTTCCATACCAGAATGCAGTTTTAGATTAATAAAAACTCTGATTTGGTTTATGCTAATACATTTTTTAACTATAAAAACTATTTAAAATAATATAAATATTCTACAAAAAAACGACATTTTTTTATATCACAATTGTTTTTGTTTTTCCCCCCATGTTGTGTCATGACCACAAAACGTTTTTAATTAATTTCAGAGTGAATGAGTTTTTGTTTGAAAATTATTTTTTTTGTAATATATATATTTTATATATTAAAATTATATATATATATATATATATATATATATATATATATATATATATATATATATACACATATACATACATATACATATATATATATATATATATATATATATATATATGCAGTTACACTTATTCAGTCATTTTCCTGGCTAAACATTACATTTATATATATATATATATATATATATATATATATACACATATACATGTGTGTGTGTATATATATATATATATATATATATATACACACACACACACACATGTATATACATATATATATATATATATATATATATATATACAGTATATTGTTTTTAATGTGTAATTTTATATTTGAACCAGTGGACCTGAGAAGGTGTGTATGGGAATAAACACTAACCTTCTTGCCTTGATGATCCAGCTGTTGCTAGAGAATAAAAGAGAAGGAGAGAGAGAGACATGTGAGGTGTTAGCCATTTCTATTTTTTTTTTTTTGAATAACTACAACTTACATCGTTCTTGAAAACAAATGAGGAGAAAACCGAACACAGACACATTTACCATTACTCAGAAACATACTGAAAAATTACTAACGGCTGCGCAACCCAAAATACATCCTCAATGCAAATTCTCTTAAAGGTCGCACACAAGATAGAGGGAAAAAAATGAACGTGGAAGGAGATGAAAGATTCTGCAAGAAACAAAAAAGTGGACTGGAAGGATGAACAAGAGAAAGAACCGTGAAAATGGAAAGATTTAGAGGGGGGAAAGCAAGAGATACAAGACTGAACAGAGAATGCCCACAAAAGCAACAAAGATAGAGTGATGGAGCGAAACACAGGAGAAGACAGAGAAGAGAAAAGACGAGAGGAGGAAGTGTGAGAAAAGCAGAGGGAGAACGCACAGGGAAGGCGAGAGCCTGAAAGAAGGTCAGACGGCAAAAGGAAAGAGACGAAAGTGGGAAGGAGGGAGGGAGTTTGTGTCTGAGTGTCACTCTCTCAGCAGGGGGGCAGACTAAGAAACATAATGGAGAAAAGATGAATGGGGAGAGAGAGAGATAGAGAGAGATCACCGATGTGGAGGAAAGTACACTCAAAAGGAACAGAATTGTGTAGCCTAAAACTAAAGAGCAAGTAGAAAGTTGTAGACATAATATTAACATTATTTTTTTAAATTACCATGACACAATTTTAGGTTTAAATTCATGTAATTCTGTGGCTGCGTTAACATTTCAGGTTTTAAAGTTTTTAGAACAACTTTTTGTCTCTGCTAGATAATTTTAAATGGACAAATAATGATGATAAAAAAGGATTCACAGTACAATTATTCCATGTATTCTTTCGGTTAATCTGGTCAAACTGCATCTTTAACAAGATAAAACAAAATCAATAACAAACATTAAAGTTATTAAAGTTATTTTAACTTTACCCCTCAACACTTGACCAAACAGAGAGAGAGAAAATCCTAATGAAAGACTTCATTTGAATATATCTTCCTCTGATAAAGACAGTCATGAAATTAGACAAAAGATAGATAAAAAGAAAACTGCTAATAGAAAATGAATTAACATCTAAACAATATAGAGACATAAAAGTAAGAGTAAATTATAAGTTAAAAAAAATTGTAATTATTTATAAACAATGCATACAACGAAACACTAATTAAACATTGTTTGGCTTCATCATGTAGCCTACTTCATTTTCTTTGTAGACAATTTTTCCACATGAATCTTTCCACTTCAAATCTTAGAATACTGGAAAGCATAAAAAATATTTTTAAATTAAGTTGAAGTAATCACTTCTTGTTTTTTTTTTGTTTTTTTTTACTACAAAAACACCTTAAACAGTGCAAATTGATTTAGAAACACCAAGTGGAATCTTAATTAAACTATATATGGCAACATACAAACAATAAATTAGATAATAAACTTATTTAATGAAATCTAATAAAACATATGTATATAAAATAAAAATGAACATTCAAAATATGCGTCCATTTAAGGTAATGGTAAATTTAGGTATATAATAAAAAAAGACCCCAATCAGGCATTAAATAAAACTGAATAAAATGTTATATTATGAACATTTTCTTATCTTTTATAATTACCATTATAAGGGATATAAGTGTACATATAATAGCGTATAAATGCGTGTCATTTTAAATAGAAGAGGAACCTAACATTTAAACTAAAAAGAGAAGAAAAGAAGAAAAGAATTATAGTGACACAAATTTCAAACTATGTATTCTTCTCTCTTACTGAAAATAAATAAAATGTTTGCTGCAACAAAATGGCAGTTTTTTGTTTTCAAGCACAAAATGGCTGCAGTTACGCTTTCCCTGCATAAAACATGGATGCCATGACACGATGCAGAGAACGACCAGGAAAAGGATGTGAGAGATGGGAAACAGACGAGAGGGAGCAAAGGAAGAAAAAGAAGGCTTCCCTGCTTCGTTCATTTCTTCAATTTTACATGTTCTGGCAAAACGGAAAAATATGGCTGATGTTCCGAAAATGTAACCGTTTTCGTGTTTATATTTCCCGAAAAAACGCTCACTGCAGGGAAAAACTACACTTGTGTAAAGGCACCGAATTATTTTTTTTTCTTGTTCGCTCCTTGGAAAAACGCTCTGTTGAATGACAAAACTAACAAGGCAAGAGAGGTGAATAAAAGGGGGAGGACGAGGTATCCGCTGAGGTGGGCAGTGCAAAACGGACAGAGTTTCGGCTTTTTAAAACAATTAAAAAGATTGAGAAACGGACAGAAATTGGAAAAGGAAATGGTGTGCTCACAGCAGGTATGAGCGAGATAAAAAGAGTCGAAAAAGACAGGGATCAATTAGAGAGAAAGTAGAACTGACTGAAATGGTTTTTCACAGCGGGGGACAGCAGGACCGAGTAAGTCGTGAATGGGGGAGAGGAGGGGGAAAAAACAACAGCAGAATTAATGTTTTGACAAGTTGCCCTGAGTAAGTGCAAGGAGCGGAGCAAAGTGAACAGGATGAAAGACGAGGGCATCCAGGAGCTGTTTTCCACAAGACGCCGCTCCAAAGAAGACAGCATATTGGCGAGTTTGTTTTGGTTGCACTTTTATGATTTCAGTGCAGTATCTTTCTACCAAAATCCAGGTTTAAACATCATAAGCTATATTTTATGAGTTTTGATATTCGAGTGAGGGGGATGGATTTAACTGCGCCACAGTGGCAGCTACTTGGGATCCTTCGAGCATGAAACTGCACAGCTGCTGTTCTGGGGGAAACATTTCACTGTAACACACTGTGAACAGCAGAATCAGTCATGGTCAATAATGAGTGATACATTCAGTTTTTGTCTATATTAATAATCTACATACAGGTCAATACATTGCAAGCTTATTTTACAAAGTTAACCAACCTTCCAAAAGACATTACGCTGCATCTGTAGTCGTGACACGTCTCTCTCTGGTATTACTTCTGGTAGTTCTTAGCTTGTTCTGTCTCCCCATGAGCCTTGGTCTCATTAAGGCTCAAATGACCTAGCGAAACGAGCTCTACTTAATGAAACTTTAAACACACCTTGCTACTGGTGCCGCGTGACAGGTTTAGCTGCTGTGGTGTTGTTTTCACGGCTCTGGTTCTGAGGCTAACGCTCCTGGGTCTGACAGGACCCTCTGTCAAACAAGGACTGTCAGATAAAAGACCTGCCACAGGAAGGAACCGAAGTCAGTCCGTGGCACTACCAGGAGGAACAAACACCAGCTGTGCAAAACATGCCCTGGTGCAAAGTCCCGTCAAACACTTCTCCTTTCATTCGTCTTTACATTCAATTGATCAGAGGAAAACAGTGCAGGGGAAAATGTTGTAAAGGTGTGCAAGAAGGCATCCAGGGCTGAAAGTGAAAAAGTGGTGGAAAACGCGGAGATATCTGAAAGCAAATGAGGATAATAAGCGCAGATATTCATTTGAATGGTTAGAGGAGTAGTTCACTTCAAAATGAAATTCTGTCATCATTTACTCGCCCTCAAGTTGTTGCAAACCTTTCTTTCCTCTGCTGAACACAAAAGAAGATATTTTGAAGAATGTCGCTAAACCAGACATGGCTTATAGAATAGTAAGCTTAAAGGGATACTCCACTTTTTTGGAAATAGGCTCATTTTACAACTCCCTCAGAGTTAAACAGTTGAGTTTTACCGTTTTCGAATCCATTCAGCCGATTTTCTGATATTTAGAAGAATATCGGTAACCACACAGTTTCTGGTCTCATTGACTTCCATAGTAGGAAAAAAAATATACTATGGAAGTCAATGAGACCAGAAACTACCTGGTTACTGATATTCTTCTAAATATCAGAAAATCGGCTGAATGGATTCGAAAACGGTAAAACCCAACTGTTTAACTCTAGGGCAGTTGTAAAATGAGCCTATTTCCAAAAAAAGTGGAGTATCCCTTTAAATATATGTTAGCTGATGCCAGGAATAAGGGTTGACAAAAAAGGCAAATAAAATACACAAAATTCTGAATTTAAAACACTTATTTTGAGACAAAATGGCCGATGCAGATCATTTTGTTTCCTCAATTTATACATTGTTTTATAAAAAATCGAACTAAATAAAACTCAAACAAGTAGTTTGTGAATACAAGACGACAGTATGAAATGCTTTAGGGAAAAAAAGAAAGAATACTGCTTAGTAATAAGAGCAACTCAATTAAACTCGCTGAAAAAATTATAGATATTTTTAAAAATATTCTTAAATTATATTTTATTATCCGATATATCACATATCCCTATATACTCAAAATCCCTCAAAACTGAAAATGTGCTCTATCCACTGACACAAGTAGAATGAATACTTATGTTAATTTGCCAATCAATCACAGTTATTAAACAAAAGTTATTAAAGAATTGTCGAATATATTTTAAATAGATGCGTCTATAACTATTCAGGAACATGATGCAAGGGACAGATGGAATAGAAGATGAGCAGAATTCCAGAAATGGACAGGGTTTGAAGAGAGAGACGAAACTCAATGAATGTGTAGTGGATAAGACCCTGATTAGTTTTGCTCTGGTAACGACAGATCATAAAAATGAGGGACGGGAGGAAAAGACTAAAAGAAACAGAGTGGGGAAGATTAGTGCCACTCCAGGAAAGGCTACACACTAGGAGGAGAAAGAAAAAAGGAGGGAGGGAGAAGGGATGCTACAGTTTAGTCTGGATTAGTTTCGGTTAGAGAACAGAAAAAGAGGGAAATAGATAGAGAGGAAGGGAAAGAGAGAGGGATAAAAGAGATGGAGCATCTGAAGCGGGAGCGTGAGAAGAGGAAAATGTGCAAAGACGAGAAAGAGAGAAGTTGTCATTCCACGCATTCACATCTTCCATGGATAAAGTAAATGTCCTTTTTTAGTCAAATATTTTGCCGCCTCAAATCAACAAAAAAACTCCATTATCTCTTATCAAATATTTGCTCCTGAAATAAGCTCATGCACCTCAGATCATTCTCTGCTACACATATTTCTCATACAAATATTGCAAATCAATTGCACAAGCATTTTCTGCCCCAACTGCAAACTAGATATTTCTCATTGAAGGTTATACAACTCTCAGAATTCAGCAAAGCATCTCCTTAAAGACTCCAAGAATTTGATTTCACAACACAGTTTCTGTTTGATTTACTCTTTTTGTGGAATAAATGCAATGGTACCCACTTAACTGAGCAACTGACAAATGTAAATACAATGCCATGGATCTCCAGTCAAACTAACTAACCTGTAAGAAACATAAAACATTTTTTTTTTCACAGCAGAAGTGGACAAATTGTTCCATGAAAAGTTGGAGAAACTGTGAGAGGCCAGAAGCCAGGTTTGGGGCCGGGGCAGGACTTGGATATTGGGTTAGACAGCTTCTGAGTGTGTGTGCGCGTGTATGTGCATGTGTGTGAAGCAGGAGGTGGAATTGGGTCGGACAGCTTACGGACTGGACTGCCATTCCCACTCTTACTGGGCGGCATTCCCTGCTGATCCAGCATCAGCCAAGCCGAGCGGAAGGTCAACATAACTGCAGGGGTCTGAGAGCCAGCCTTGCTCAACGCACAGGACATGCACACACACACACACACACACAGTGACACGCAAATAAGCTTCCAAACATAATGTTATATATATATATATATACACACACACACACATACACACACACACACACACATCACATGTGTATTATTATATTTATATAAATTATTTAGTAGTCATATTTATATAATTATATATACATCATGTATATCCATATACGTATATATGTATATAGATATATACAGTATATGTACAGTATATATGCACAGACACACCGCGATTAATCGTTTTGACAGCACTATTATATTAGACCGTTTAATGAAATGTCAATGCAATTTATTATGAAATTTAGAATTAAATTGTAAATAGATTTTGTAGTCGTTTGATTACAATATACAAAAAAATATTGTATTTAAAAATATATTTAAACATTATAATTTATATACACACACAAACACACTGTTTACATATTTAACATACATATTTTAATTTAAATTATATTAATTTAAATAATAAATATTCAAAAAATGCTTTGAAACGTGATATAAACTATACTGCAACAAAATTCAATTTATGTTAATTATAAACGGTCTTTGTTGTGTGTGTATAAATAAATATGTAAAATTCAAGAATTTACAAAAGTCACATTATCTATTATTATCTACAAAATATTCAAATTTAAACGTTTAAAAACGTTTTGTTTTGTTATAAATGTTTATAACCATTTAAATATGTTATTATTGTTTTTCATCTTCTACAGATTTGTCTCTTCTTTGTTTCATTCTTCCTTTCCCTGGCTCATCATTCCAATTTTTCCCCCGTCATTTTATTATTTCTTTCTGAGCCACAAGAGAAACAGTTAAATGTAAAAATGACACATTTTTACGTTTATACATAAATAGGAATATATACATACATACATACATATGTATGTATGTATGTATATATAAATATATTCCTATTTATGTATAAACGTAACATACATACATACACACACACATACACATATATATATATATATATATATATATATATATAAATTTGTCATTGTAAAATAACAGTGTTATTTCCCAACAACAGAAGGCGACTGCAGTTTACAGCAAGAAAATTACTACACATTCTTTAACATTAATTTTACTATTTTATTCTGCACTTAAAGCATTTGGAAAAAAATTGGAATGATGAGCCAGGGATAGGAAGAATGTATTAGCAGAAGAGACAAATCTGCAGAAGGTATAGGCAGGGAGAAGGAGCGGTTGCGTGCAGAGAGAGGGGTATGTCTCATTGCGTGAGAGGGTGTGTGTGGGGGGGTGACATGCTTTCTTTCCCAAGGAAAAAAAAAACGTGTGGACAAAAAAACAACTAGGGGGTGAAGAGAGGACTGTACTTACTTGGTGGACAGCACACAGTGATTCGTAGTTTCATACAGGGGAGGGGGGGTCCATCGTCTGAGGATAGTGCTGGAAGGAAAGAGAGACAGAGTAAAACAGGAGACTGATGTCTTTGACACTGGGAAAGAGAAATCTAAATTTGTTGCCACCAAATCGATGCTTTAGACTGCTCGCACAAAACACAAATACACACATCACCCTGGGCCATAAAAAGACTGCTTGACTCCGATGGAATGGCTAATCCATTAGCGCAAGCAGGAGCTGTAACGGGCTTGTTAATGCTGAGCTCGGCAGGACCGAATGTGAGCCGTTCCACAAATGATGGACACTCTGATGCAGTCAGATGGGCTCGGTGCAAACATTCACACTTCATAAACTTACATGATTACACCGTTACAACATTATTTACACACCTGGAGGTCATATTTGCTTTCAGCTCATCTCATAAGTGTGATCCAAGCATGACTGCATATATTCGTTTTGAGCAAAATTCCACGACACTGTTGCAGAGTAGCTGATCTGAATATGAAACATTCTGGGTGTTGTTGATAATGTGTGTTTTTTACATCACGCTGCACATTTGCTTTGTTCTTGACTGCAAGTTAAAGGTTCTCCGAGTCGTTTTTTTAAGGACGTCGGTTTCTACGGTAGCATATAATGTTAATTCATGGCCAATCACAAAACTGTAACTTAAGAACTTCAACTTCAGTCAAAGAGATTTTTGAAAAAGTAGTTCAAAATGCAGCGTGCGCCATTCAGCAAAAAAAAAAAAAAAAAGCCTCAGAGTTTTATAGTTGAGTTTTGATGTCATTTGATGTCATTTTTTTCATCAAGTTGAGCTGAACCTGTCTGACAGATCATAAGAGACCCAATTTTAGTCGTAACACAATTTTATACTATATTTAAGATAATATCTTATTATCTTTTTTCAAACAGCAGTATGAACTGACAAAAAATATTCAGGATTCCAATGAGGGCGGCAATATTTCATCCCATCTGAACAGATCAGTTTCCTCCGATATCACCGACAGCTCTACAAAAACTACACTGTAAAAAAATATTTTCATGATTTGTAATCACAACATTTTTTTCTTTTGTCAAATCAACTTAAATAATTTATGTGGTTCAGATTACACAATATTTTGAGTTTCTGATGATTAAATCAATCTCCTTTATTGTACTAACATAATTTTTCCATTTGAATGAACTCAAAATTTGAAGGCAGCCAGGTTCATTTTTTTAAGTCAAACCAACAATGTTTTTTACTGAAAACATAGTAATGAACAGCCCTTTTTAAATAATAGACTATTGTTTTGTAAAAGAATTGTATAATATTATATATTGTCTAATTTATAACAAAATAAAGAAAATAACATATCTTGTAATAACATATTGGTAAATATTACATATCTTGTAAATACATATCTTGCAAAAACATATCTTGCAAAAACATATTGGTAAATATTTCTAATGCATTAAATGTGGCAATGATAATATGCACAAACCGAAATGTTTGATTTCAACATGTCAGCTACCACAAGACAGCCATATCCAAGTCAAATAAAACAGCTTTTATAAGGCCAATGGTGAGCTTTTATCTCATGAGAGCATATCATCTTAATGTATTTGGCAAAAACATAACCATTTTTTACCAAAAAGGAAATAAATATAATGCACTGCAGCTTTAAAATGATGACTCTAACAGCTAGAGCATGTTCTGGTGTTTTAGCATGCTATGTAAATGAAGAAGAGTTAGTCTAACTTGTACACACAGACATTATGTACATGAACGTGTACACACACACACACACACACACACACACACAAATGAACACTCTGAAACACAGTGTGTGTACTATAATGCCATGCATACCTCATTAGCATCAGGCCATGTTATAACGGCTATAAAGCTATGAATCTCTTCCCAGAATCTGAGCAGCAAGTCTGAGGTAGACGCTTAAATTCAGGCTTGAGTGGGTCTGCCATTTTAAAGAGCGTCTCTGGCTCCACATTTAATCATAACCATAAATCCATAACAGCCATTTCAGTAACACACCACATCAGCGGCCATTTTCATCTCGTAGAAAGGCTTTTAAACTGAACGTCCAACAACAGCATACATCCATTTAGCATGCGCAGTAATTTCACATCGACAATAATGAGACTCCAGCGGGGCTGTATGTGTGCGAGTGTGTAGTGTGCGTGTGTGTAGATTTTCTGAACCCCATATGCATTTGCCCCATACCTTATGGGATCATGGCATCAGAACTCTGGATTTCAAAGCAGAAGTCTGAGACCATTTTGTGAAATGGCTACTCTTTTTTATATTTAAGCAAATTTAATTGAAAATTATATTACCAGCATTAAAATTTAAGTGGGAAGTTTAATTGAAAAAAATGTCTTAGTATTTGCTATGAGGTCAATGGACAATGAAAAAGGAGTGTCCACGATAAACAAAAGAAAACGTTTTTTAGAAAATGTACTCTTCGTATGGTTTTGAAAATCCTTTATATAATTTTCAAGAGAAGTATACATTTAATTATTCTAATATGTGCGTAATCGCCAAGAAAAAAAAGGTCTTTCCTTAGAACTCAAAAATATTATTATTAATTCATAAATATCAAGTTTTTGGAAAGGCATGCTATTTCAGAATTTGTACTAAACATGTGCTTCAACAATCATAAGGTTCCTGGTTTTCTTTCTGCATATTGGTTGCACCATATGCCATTGATTTAAACTGTAGATTATGGTTCAATTCTCACAATTAACTAAATATTAACTATGATTTTTGGCTCAAACTCCTAATTACTGCTTATTAGTTATTAGGGTAGTTGTTAAGTTTAGGTATTGGGAAGGATTAAGGGATGTAGAAAATGGTCATACAGAATAAGGCATTAATATGTGCTGTATAAGTACTAATTAACAGCCAATATCCTATTAATATTTATGCTAATAAGCACTAATAGGGAGAATTGGACCTAAACCAAAGTGTTTCAATATTTCTATTATAATTTAAACAAAATATTATTTGTTAAAAGTTACAATAAATACAAAAAGATAGAAGCGGACTCTTTAAGCCAATTGGCCCACGTCGACCCATTGATTTAATGACAGTCACACTCAAGCTATACACTTCACAACTTTGTGCAAAACCTGAGCCATGTTATCAATCTAAAAGGAAACCAGCCAATGAGAGGGTCAGTGTCAAAGGTACTTCTTGTATTAAAGTCCCATGTTTTAAAAGCATGACTCTTTAGTAGTTAGTTATCTCTTCTGTTTCACCCACAAATGCTCTTGCACACACCAACTCAAACTACAACTTGAATTCAGATCGGACACACTGATCCCTTGTTTTCAGCTACAGGATCGAGCTTAAACAATTAAAAAGACAGACACATTGTTATGCTTTCTTTGAAGTGAACAATAGACAAACACACACAAACTCACACCGTATCAGGGTAGGGGTGGGTTTGTGAAGTTTGACACAAAGGCTCTGTGCTGTGTATACGCTCTCATGCTCGAACAATGCTCCATTGTCCTGGTCAGCAATGCTGTAATTTATGTTAAGATACTTTCCCCCCCTTTCCGTCTCTTCCTCTTTTCCCACCCTCTTTTAAGCCCTTTGTTGTCCGACTCTTTCTTTCAAGGAGACTCTTTCCTCTTCTTCTACTCTCTCGCCTTTCCTTCAACTTATAAGACTGCATCATGTTCTTAGTTCACTTGAGGGGCTTTCACACTGGGTAGTTAAAGGAACTGAGTTATAGGAACTAGCCACCAGAGCAGACCCCGAAGAAGTTTTCTCCAGGGCCAGTTTTGTGGTTGCATTCACACGTCCAGTAGAGACATTGAAGTAATGTGAGCTGGCTGGGAAGTGGCTGGACCTCGGCGCGGCCCGTCTATGTCAGAAATTTTTTCGCCCCTTGTGAGGGTATCGCACAGTTGGTCCAGAGCTACAAAACAATTGCCCTAAACTCAGTGTTTTTTCCTTCACTGTGCGAAAACAGAAGTTAAACCATTTCATCTTTATTGCAGCAAGAAAGAAATTGAAAAGAGGGATATCCTACGCTATCTCACGACCAATTCGTACGAATTCGTACGAGTGATTCAAAAGTGGCTAATTCGCACTAATTCATACGACCTCACTCGTACGAATTTGTATGATTTGTCTAAACCCACGTGACGGTTATGTTTAGGGGTGGGGTCAGGGGTAGGTCATTCGTACGAATTCATACGAATTGGCTAATTCGTAAAATATGTACGATTTTGGCCACCTCGTAAAATTCGTACGAATTCCCGTGAGATTGGGTTGGGATATCAATACGCTCTGTAGCTATCAAACTCGCTATAAATTACTGTTGCTTGCCTCCAGTTCGTGTTGCAATGAGGATAAACTGTATTACTCATGTCTTCCAAGCCACCAGCACCTCTTTTATTAATTTACTTACATTAATTTAGCCAACTGGTTTCACTTTTCACTTTATTTACTAATTTATTTAATATTTTATTTTATTCTCACCGGAAAGGTGAACCGTTGCAGTTTGCAATTGGTGATAGGCTAATGAAAAATGTCATGTCACAATATTGGAATTTTTTTGTGCGAGTAATGCTGGTGAAGAAGTGTAGGAAAAAACCTAGTAAAATAAAACCCAGAAAACTTCCGGCAAATTTAGATTTGCTCTAGTTAGTCTGGCAAAAGTTAGTCTGGCAAAGAGCTCATTCAAGCCTATTTCCAATCCATTAAAATCGCGGCACCAATCAGAAACGTTGGGGCGGGCTTCACACAGTGACGACAGCGCTGGGATTCTGAAGCAGATTTTGTAGCCTATATTACAAAGATGGATGCCGCCATCTAACATCACTCGTTCGAATCAGCTATCGCGTCTGTTTTAAGCGATTTGAACGTTATCTTTTTGTTAAAAACCGAGCAAAGAACAACACTCAGAGATATTTCTCTGCCGGCCGCCGCTTGCATATGTCATCTCCTTCATCAAATATAAATAATATTTATTTAAATTATATATAAATATAAATAATTAAATAAATAAATAAATATAAATAAATCATAAATATAAATAATTTTGAAATATATAACATTAAAAAGAGTACTCGATGTGTAAAATTGCTCTGTTACTTACCAGATTTACCAATTGTTATAAATTCAATTTGTGCTGGTTAATTAAGAACAATGGGCAAAATTGGGTGGGGGTGGGGGGGCGGGGTCTTTGCTTGCGCGCAATGGCGCAGATTCAAATTATCCGCCATTACTTTTCCGTTGCTTAGTCCCACCAACAACGATGGTTAAGCTGGTCAGATCTGTCAAGTTTGGATCTGTTGTCAGGGCAAGCGGGAGATTTGAATTCAGTCTACTCTCGTGAAGTGTGATCACATTGGTTCAAAACTATAATCGTATTCCCCAGGAGCAGCCGTGAACAGGAGCGCTGAACAAATGAATTATAGTCCGGGTGTCAGTCAGTCCATTCGGAAATAACACGCCCTTTTTCAGTGAGTCTGGCTCGTCACAGTGGACATCATTCCAACATCTAATCACCGATATTTACATTTGTGTTAGTATTAGTTGACACTTTCCAAGCTAATGTTAGCATTCTTAAAATGTTCAGTCATCACAACTGGCGTCAAGAGCTGGAGGGCAAAACACCCCAGCATACTTCTACTAATGTTCCATCTGTTTAAAAAAAACTGTTTTTAAAACACATCCCACATCTCTAAAGACCTAAAACAAGCTTAGTAGACTTGTTATGCATATCAAAGTCCAAATCCAGATCCAACTCCTCCCACCTTACATATACCTAAACCTACCCATCTCCGCCTCCTGATGATCCCTGAGCCCACCCCTAATCCTATATCTAAAATATCTGCTCCCCCGATCCCACTGGAGGTGCTACTGATCTTTGTTATGATATGCTCAGTTTCCAGACCAAAGACAGTTGAGGTTTTGCATTGTCCCAATGGAACGTTATTATTCTGACATTTTTTGTGATTTCAGGTCATGTGGAAAGCAGATGATCGTGGCAAATAAGGCATGGGAAGAATTAACTTAAAAAAAAAACCTGTAATGACCGAGTGTTCTGATTCCATGTGATTGCACTAAAAGTATGCACAAGGTTTGGTTTTGCTACAGACCATGATTGTGTTAGATTCCACCCATCTATAGTTTTTATTTTTATTTTAACTAGGCTCTGTCATTTGGAAATATGGCTTTTCCTATCACTACTATCTTAATGACACATATCTCTACTTTTCATTCCAGCCAGATGATCTGACGGTTGTCAGACGGCATCTCAGCCTAGCTGATGGAAAATTATTGCTGGATGAATGACCTTCAGCTTCAACTCAACCTTGCCAAGACAGAACTGTTAATGGTTTCAGCCAAACCATACGTGCTGTGATTTGCCTTATACATCATTAGGAGGATAAGGCCCTTCCTATCGGAGCTACAGTACACAACTCCTGCTCTAAGCTCTTGTTCTATCTAGACAGCATCAGTCAAACCTCTTCAACTGATCCAGATGGTGCAGCAAGAGTGGTCTTTAAAGGTAGCCCTAACTAAACTCACTACTTTAGATCTATGGTGTCCTCCAGAAGCTTGTGTTCTGCAAGTGAACGGCACCTTGTGGTGCCATCATCCCAAAGAGTCACAAAACCACTTTCACTGACCTTAACCTTCACTGACTGCCTCTAGCTGGTGGAATGACCGGCACAACTAAACACATTTTTAGGAAACTGCTAAAGACCCTTCTTTTTCATAAATACTTGCCCCAATAATACTAAATCTTTGTTTAAAAAAAATGTTATGTGCCACGTGTACGGTGCTAGACTAACTGGGACTTGTCACTGCACTTGTTGCTTCTATTGTTATCTTAATTGGTAAGTCACTTTGGATAAAATGTAATTGTAAATGTTTGAAATAATACATTATGAGTATAAAGGTATACAGCACTTGCCTTTTAAGGTGGATATTTTACATGTTCTAAATTATATACTAATTAATTATATACTAATTATATACTATATTATATACTAGTGTAAATGTGCAGGGATTCTGTACTGTTTTTTTAGTTAATTCAACAGAAACTGACTGTAAATTTGCTATTATTAAGTACTTAATTAGAGATTGGTCAAAGATGTGTACTGTATGTGTACTGATTACTGTAGAAACACAGCATTATTATATAAATACTATATATATATATATATATATATATATATATATATATAATGGCTTATTAAACCGTGGAATATATGAAGAGTTCAGATGCAAAAGTTTTAATTTCACTTTAATGGCAATGATAATTACCTATTAATTATTATGTAAGTGAAATTACTGAACTTAAATATACAAGTTTGATAAAAATCATCATTAAAGAAGAAAATTTCAAATGGCATTTAGAGGCTTTTGCATCTGAACTCTTCATATATTCCACGGTTTAATAAGCCATAATCAACAGTATAACAGTATAATATACAGTAATTTAATCAATTTTTACTAAAGTAAATTCTGTATTTTTACTAATTTTGCATGTAATTTTGTGAAATGGTTATTTGCTGTAATTTAACGGAATCTGTCTGGAAACTTTACTGCGTTTTAGAATTATTTTTACTGTAAATTTGTTGACCACTAAAAATAAATAAATAAATAAAAACTAAAGATAAAGATTATTAATTTTTCACTTTATTTCTAGAGTATGGGTTTTTTTTGCAACATACTCATTAAAAATGCCTTGTGTGATTTCCTACCCAGAGAGAGAGAGAGAGAGAAATAGAGGAGGGAATTGAAGAGCTTTAGCCTGAAACCAAAGCTGTAAAAAACAGGAAAACTGTCATGTAATTTTATGGCCACAGACCATCTTCGTTCCTTTTTGGGCTTCATGTAGAAAAGGCGAGAATGATGAGAGTGGAGCCAAAAGCAAGACTTATGTTCTCATAAATATTCATAAAAATACAAAAAAAATAAAAAATAAAACACACACACAAAAGATACACAAGCAGATAAACAAAAAACACACCAACTCCTTCTCAACAGGTAGCATAAAGGTGTACATTTTTTAGATTCCATTCAAAATTGTCGGATCAGTACGTTTCTTTTTTAAAGAAATAAACGCTTTTATGCAGCAAGGATGAATTAACTTGATCAAAAGTGACAGAAATATTTTGTAACATTATGAACATATGTACTATTTAAAATAAATGCTGTATTAGCTTACTTTCTATTTATCAAAGAACTCTTAAAACAAATTAGGGGTGCAACAGATCACAAAACTCAGTGGCAAAACACTCCATAGTCTCCACAGTATAAAATATCCTTATCTATATACACACACACACACACACACACACACACACACACATACATATATAAATATATATATATATATATATATATATATATATATATATATATTATATATAATTAGTCTTTTGTGGTTTTATTAACACTGATGACACATATAACGATACTCATCTGCTTTCTTTCTCAATTGCTTACGGTTATTTAAGACATAACAGACTGTGTTTTACAAGGAATTTCGCCAATACTGGTATTTTTAAATAATTTTGCATGTACGTGTCTTTTCAAACGCACACAGAAAATAGTGTGTCAGAGCCCAGCTGAATTGAGTCTTTCGTGTCTTCCTGTGCTTGAATGGTTTAAAATGGCTTGTATGTTTAAATTGCCAGGACTTAACACATGCAAACTTTCACAATATGGTGGTTAAACTTTGCAATTTAATCCACGAATCAAATGCGTTCCAAACCGTGGGGCCTGGTCCGTATGGATCAACTACGATCCATTACTCCCCTAAAAACTGTTCAAACAAATTTTGCCTTGATGATCATCACAGACTTCTTTCAAAAAGAAGTCTTAACAAAAAAGTAAGCATAAAAAGAAATATTAACAGCCCCAAATTTTAGAATGGTAGTGGTGTATTTTAAAGGTGTAATTAGTGTAAATGTATCTATTCACTGTTATGTTGTCACCCTGATTGACATTTCTGTGTTTGCTATCCAATTCTGCAGCTCACTTACAGCTATAGTAGTAATGGTGTCCAGGCAGGAATTCAAAGCCCAATGAGAAGGGTGTGAAGCGCTGGATCTTTTCAGAGAATCTGACAGGGCCATAGGGAGCGTACGGCTGGTTACACTCCCATCTCTTAATGGCCTCTTTAGTCTCCACGCAGCCCTTGAACTGGCGCTCAGCCACCAGGTAGAGAGCCAGACTCTCCACAGGTCCACTCGACTGGTGTTCAGCAGGATAGTGGGGACACAGTATATCCAGATAATCACTCAGATTGACCTGGACAGAGTAATCATCTCCTGTTAACCTGAGAGCAAGAGAGAGAGAGGGGGAATATTAGAGGGTGTATTTCTATCATGAGAGAAATTCATGGCCACAATCACCAAAAATGGCATTCATCCAAGTCCACAGAACAGATTTCAGATGTGTCAGCAGGATCTGCACTGAATCATGCTTGGATAGGCGCTCGCTTGGCCGCTTCGTGGGATATTATTAAGAGTTAGCAGTCAGTCACTGCTGAGAAACAAATATTTTAACATGACAGAAATTTAGTTAGTACCTGATGATAGAAGGATGCAGCGAAAAAGTGAATTGTAAATTAAAGATTCATGCTAGGCAAACTTAATTAAGCAAGTTTTATGTTACTCGAGTGATACTGCAGTAACACTGAAAGGAAAGAGAAACCCTGAGGATTTCAGCAGGTTAAAATGTTCACACAGCACCAGATACAGACCATGGCTCTCAATAACAGCTTCATGCTAATTACTGAGAGTTTTATTCTTCTTCCACACACACAAAGTCAAAAGTCAAGTTGCACTAATAGGGGAAGAATTAGCATAGAGCCCCTTAGGGGCTTGGTTTAAAAAAAAAAAAACACTTTCCAATTTGTTTACACACTGTTGACTTTAAAAGGAAGTGTGTACAAGACACAGGAAAAGGAAGGAAGGAAGGAAGGAAGGATATTAGAGGGTGTATATCTATCATGAGATAAATTCATGGCCGGCCACAATCACCAAAAATTGCATTCTTCCAAGGAAGGAAGAAAGGAAGGAGGAAGGAAGTAAGGAAGGAAGAAAGGAAGCAAGCAAGCAAGCAAGGAAGGAAGGGAGGAAGGAAGGAAGGAATGAAGAAAGGAAGGGGGAATATTAGAGGGTGTATTTCTATCATGAGATAAATTCATGGCCGGCCACAATCACCAAAAATTGCATTCTTCCAAGGAAGGAAGAAAGGAAGGAGGAAGGAAGTAAGGAAGGAAGAAAGGAAGGAAGCAAGCAAGCAAGCAAGGAAGCAAGGAAGGAAGGAAGGAAGGAAGGAAGGAAGGAAGGAAGGAAGGAAGGATATTAGAGGGTGTATATCTATCATGAGATAAATTCATGACCGGCCACAATCACCAAAAATTGCATTCTTCCAAGGAAGGAAGAAAGGAAGGAGGAAGGAAGTAAGGAAGGAAGAAAGGAAGCAAGCAAGCAAGCAAGCAAGGAAGTAAGGGAGGAAGGAAGGAAGGAATGAAGAAAGGAAGGGGGAATATTAGAGGGTGTATTTCTATCATGAGATAAATTCATGGCCGGCCACAATCACCAAAAATTGCATTCTTCCAAGGAAGGAAGAAAGGAAGGAGGAAGGAAGTAAGGAAGGAAGAAAGGAAGGAAGCAAGCAAGCAAGCAAGGAAGCAAGGAAGGAAGGAAGGAAGGAAGGAAGGAAGGAAGGAAGGAAGGAAGGAAGTAAGGAAGTAAGGAAGCAAAACAAGCAAGCAAGCAAGGAAGGAAGGAAGGAAGGAAGGAAGGAAGGAAGGAAGGAAGGAAGGAAGGAAGGATGAAGGAAATGATTTACATAAACAAAAAATCCTTAATTTATTCTCCATAATTCTATACATTTTGGCAGAGATTCCACCAACTTGTACAAGCTACAAATCCTAAAAACATAGGCACAATGTTTATTGCAACAAACGAATGAAAGAACGAAAGGAAAGTTTATAGCCAAATTCAGAGGTACTGAAGAAGTGCAGATGAACTACAGGCTGTGAAAAAACAGGTGAGAACCAGAGCAAAGGAGCAGCGGAGATGAAGTGAGACAGGAAGTGAGGTGAGGGGCTCAGAGAGAGAAGGGTTACAGAGAGGAGAGACAGACACATGGAGGGAGGTAAAGAAAGGGTTCTATTTTAATTAGTGGCCCTAGAGAGAGTTTGGCGGGAGACAGCAAGAAGACAAGATGGATTTTAATTGGTCTTTCTTCACTGCAAACGTACGTGTGTGCCAGAGAATGAACCAAGCGAGGGATGAGAAGAGGCCACGGAGGAGATGTGGATGTGAGAGCAAGGCGGCCGGTCCAGGTCTGTCACCGGGAGTCTTTTGTAAAGAAGTGACAGAGCGAAGGAGGCAGAGGAAGTCTGAGAAGGAAAGAAGGGAGGAGGAGAACACACATGGGCAGAAAAATGAGGAGGGGGGTTATCCTGAGTTAAGTGGGTGGAGAGACGGTGGACAGAGAGACGATGGAAAAAGGCTAATGAAAGACTCCAGACCAGAGACAGAAAGAGCAAGGGAGCCAAACAGATTGAGGCAGATGGAGTGCAGAGGGAGAAACTGAGAAAGTTAGAGAGTAAACTAGGTATCCGACCCACAGTCTATGACCTAGTTAAGAAATTACCTCAATTTCTGAGGTGTAAACTCACTACAGAAGCCAGAAAATACAAGACGTGCTGTGGCTGACCATGAGATTTCATATCAAACCATCAACAGTGATTCAAAAGATCATCTCTTCATCACACTATTATATCGTATTCCATCCAAGATCTGACAGCACATGTCATATTTACAAATACTGCAAGCTTGGCCAGTGATGAGACATCTATAAGTTGCTAATTAGCTGTCAAGCTAAAGTAATTTTCATCAATTAGGCACATTTGAAGGGACCATCATCATGTTGTGACCGTTTCATGGTGTCACAGTTGAATAAATGAACACTGGACCAGAACAAATGGAGTTTGTATGACCTTTCCTCTTGTTTTTCACAGGATAATACATTTAGAATCTAATCTCAGGATCAGTTTTCATGTTTAACTGGATTAAAGAGTGGCTTTGGACATTATTTAATCATTAAAGGAGGAATTTACCAATGGCAAGATGGACTTTTAATAAAATTTGTCTGGCTATGCCGTTCGTTCACTTTTGACAAAGATGTCAACACCCATTATAAACTTGTGGTCAGTAAAAATTACTTTTATTCAGCAACAAAATATTAACATTTCAAATAAATGCTTAAAAAAACATTATATTGATCAGTAAGAATAACTGTTTCTACAAAAATATGAAGCAGCTCTTTTCAACGGTTTTCAATATTGATACTAAGAATGTTTCTCCAAACCTATACCTGCCCAACCTGATCTCACAGGAAAACTTAACTGAGGAGGCGATTTCAAGGAAGGAAGCAAGTATGAAGGTCCACCCCTAAACATACCCATCATTGGGGCTTAAGCAGATCAAACGAGGAATGTATACGAATTAGCAACCAATTCACCAAAATGTAAATAGTTACAAATTGACATGAGATTGTGTTGGTGTAACCAGACAAATGACTAGATCAATTCAAACCAATTTCAAAAAGACACTTTTCAAATCAAGGAGTAATGCACTGTAATTACTCAAGTTATTATGACGAAGCTGCAGTAAAACCACAGTCTGCATGCAGATTTGAACCCTTAATGTTTAAACCTTCTGGAGAAATAGGTTAGCAAGACTAAATTGTGTAATTACTGCATTTTGGAAATGTGAATACTGGAGCTGAAATTTGACAGTATCAGACAGCATTATATCGTCTAGTTATAATATTCAAACCACTATAATTTGCAGACACCGATAATTATGAGTAGCTGAGGTTGCAGTGGCGGAGATGAAAGTGCAATAAAGAGGTGGAGGAAATGCATTTACTGTTCCCTCTCCTCCTCCACACATGCAGCGACTCGAGCGACGAGCTGATCAATAGCTGTGACTGAGTATTGGTGATCAATCTCCATGACAGGCCCAATCGATCAGGAGTCAGTCAATCATAACTCAGACAAGGCCTTCTGATCAATTTTGCGCTGTGTTCAACACCCCCGAGCTGCATAACACATCTCAATTAACACACCCACATACTCACAAATACATGTACACACGTAAATAAAAGCATTGGTGAATTGACAACTAATGTTGACTTTGCCTCCAATTTCTTACACACATTACTAAAAGCTGGCAAATGGACTTTACTTTACAGAGGGTTAGTGAAAGTGAAAAGGTGAGGGAGCGAGAGAGAAGAAAGATATATAAGGGACAGAGGACAAAGCAATCAGCAGAGAGAGGTTAAAGTGTCGGGCTCTGTCAGGTAGTCTGAAAAATGAAAATGCCCTGAGTAAGAGAACAAGAGAACAAGTGCAGGGATCTGTAAACTGGTAATCATGGTCATATTCAGCAGGATGATAATGCGGATGCTTCCCTCGAACAGAGATCTGTCATGGACTTGGGCTTGACACACTTCAACGAATGCAATAATAATTAAGAAGAATTCAGAGTTTACTGAAGAAGAATTAAGTTAAAGTTACAATATGCAGAATTTTTCGCCACCAGGGGTCGCTAACCTCTTATAATAACAAAGGCGTATGTTAATGACGTTAATGACGTGATCTTGTCGTCAAGCTGATGGATATTTTATGGATGAGTGAATACATTGATGTTTTTAACAGGATATAAAGGAATAAGGACATTTAATTCTACCGAATTACACGCAAGTGCTGAATTACTCGCAAAGGTCAGTTTATTAGAGGAATAAAACTTGAGGTAACGCAGTGCTCTCTTTCACTTCCTCTAACGGTTCACCTGTTTGCTCAAGTAACATGCAACACTTGCGTTTCTGTCAAGATGAAGTTCGTCGCGGACATGAAGGTCTCGGCATCTCGCAAGATGTTGATCTTCATTTTAGTCCTCTTTTCGTCTCAAAGTCTGCTTGCCATGGTCCACAATGTTTGAACAAAACCCTGCTAGGGACGCTCACGCTGTTGAGCACGCATAACAGGCATAACCGACCCAGTTGTCCACGTCTGTTGCCATGGTTACTATTGCAGTACGAGGTCAAACCTGGCGGAAACCGGGGCTAACGTGGATATGACGTAATTGACTGGCGACTCCTCACCCCTGCTCACATGTCCCATTTTCTAGGTTAAAAATCGCAATTTTAAGTTGGAAACATTTGGGATTTTGTCAGTAGTCAACTAAACAAAATATATAACATTGGCCTAGTGGTTTTTGGATATTTTACTGCAAAAATCCTGCATATTGT